AATTATCCCTTAAAACCCATTAAGTGTTGCATAAAGCCCCTTAACTGTCACTTTCCTAAGGATAACATGAAGGTTGGAAAATGTTACCTTAAGTGTTACACAAAAGTCTTCTACAAGCCATGATGGCCGCTTTATATGTTAAACATATGCATTTATTCACATATAAACATTGATCAAATTACATACAGCACATAATTACCTCAAACATGTGTGCATTACACTTGAGAGCAAATTTATATTCCGTAATATTTTATTCCTGTCTTTTCCAAAATATTACCTGGAGATGACTTGAAAAACCCACATAAACCATATATTATTGCAATCGTGTGTTTATTGTGTTTACGTTTCTGCTTTTTATTCAGCTTATAAGAAAGGCTACTTCTATGAATCCGGTTTGGACTTTCAGTATGAGAGCACCCTCTGGCTTTGAGTAAGAATGAAACACACATTGCATGAGAGTTTAGCTCTTTAATGTTCAGATCGTTTTAGATACGAATAAAACGTCATGCATAGTGTAACGAATCAGCTCATGACAGGAAATATGAATAATTAACCATAACTAGTTATGATTAATTATGAATATTTTAGATCCGCTGTAGATATTTAGCTGACCACTCACATGTTCCTCGTAATTGGCCCTTTGGTTAGGTGAGGGGGCATTAGATATTATTTGTTAAATATAACAAAAAGTTGTGTGTCTGATTGGTCCAAATGCTACAATAGACTATCTTGTCTCTTTGAATTTAAATATATATTTAATATATATTTCATGCTTTAATATATATTTATATATTTATATTTATGAATTATCAATTTGAGTTTCCGTCTCGTCTGCTCCTTCTCTTTCATATTTGGTTTCTTTTTTGTTTTCCTTATCCATATTATATTGTTTCACAAGTTCACACTTACATATAATAAACAGAGTAAAGGTTATGCATATTTGGCGTGCTGTCCGGGGAGAGGGATCAGAGCTCTGTAATTCCTCCCGAACCCGGGGTACTCCCCCTGTCCGGGGAGAGGGGTCCGAGCTCGGCCTTTAGTCCGGACCCAGAGCGTTCCCCCCAAAAGATGCAATTAGCGCGGGACAGCAGACAGAGTGGGGCATTGATAACCCCCCAAAACTTGCAGAACTTAAGGTTGGTGAGGTGCTGGCACTTGGCGTAGAATCATTGCAGTGGTATCAGAAAAGAGAAAGTGGCTTCTGCGGAAGCGAGCACTGCTGTGGCAGTTGGAAGTAAAGATATAGGCTTCTGCGGAAGCAAGCACTGTGGGAAGTAGAGATGAGTGGGAAGTAGAGATACGGGCTCCTGTGGGAGCAGGCACTGCACTGCATGTGTTTGCTGCAGCCTGGAATTGAACTGCTGGTTTCGTCTAGCCAGAGGAGAGCTGGCCCCCCGACTGAGCCTGGTTTCTCCCAAGGTTTTTTCTCCATTTTGTGACCAATGGAGTTTTGGTTCCTTCCCTCTGTCGCCTCTGGCTTGATTAGTTGGGTACACTTAATATCCAGCGATACCATCGACTTGATTGCACAGATACTATTTAAACTGAACTGAGCTCGATTATGACATCACTAAATTCGATGATGAACTGCCTTTAACTGAAAATTGAGTGTTTACTATTGTCCTTTTGCATTATTGACACACTATTTTCCTATTTAATACTGTAAAGTTGCTTTGACACAATCTGTATTGTTAAAAGCGCTATATAAATAAGTAGGGATGCACCGATACTGATACTGGTGTAAAAATAAGACCATTCATAGGGGCTTCTACCTTTTTTTTTTTATTGCATTTATTTACATTTGTTTAGCACAAATGTACCAATTCAGCTAAATTGATTTGTATTAAATTTGAGATTTTATTTTTTATTTATTTTTTTATTTTTTCCCTTTTAATTTCCTACAGCTCTTAGGACCCCTTTTTTATTTCAATTTTTGTTTGTTGTGTTTTACTTTTACCTTATTTTAGTTATTTCGCTACAGGGCATTCACTATAAACATCATTTATTTCAACCGTAGGCATACACAACTTTCTGGCGAAAGTGAATCTAACAGCCTGTGTGAAATGCGCTAGGCTGTACTACTTGTTCCTCTCATTCTGCGCCAGTACAAATACGTGCACGCGTTGTGCGTGTTTTGCTTGCTTGAGTGTTTCTGCATTATATGAGTGGCTTTGGAATATAAATCGCAGCACTTTCAGATGAAAAAATCTTTGAATCTTCGCAACTTCTATTTCTGAAAATATCACAGTTATGAGATTTATAACGAGTGGTTCCCTGCATTATTACAGCAAAGCACAAGATTACAGTACTAAGCCACTGCAATGGAGCAGCTCTAATGCTATTAAATTAAAGATGATGTACATAGAGCAAAGAAATGAACAGTGAAAGTAACAAAAACTTGTCAAATACATTTTAATGTGCATAATAAAGTGTGAAAATAACCGAAGGATATACAGTCAAACCAAAATTTGTTCAGAGACTAGATATAATTTTTGTATGTATTGAATGTATGTGTTGAATCACTCCAATTTCATTGGTGCAGCGTTACCCTGTGATGAGTGATAGTGTTCCGTGAAAGCTATATAGAATAACCGGAGCAAAACATTGTCAGCTTCTGTGCCTTCAGTAAGCTCTCTGTGTTGGTGAGTCTTATTTAATGTTGTGTGTCCTGCAGGAATTAGCTTTGTATTTAATCTGGAAAGTGAACAGTTTAAGACCTATGTGCCTCCCTGCCCACACTACATCACAGGCGGGGACATACATGATCTTTGTGTTCACTGCTTGGGAATGGAGCATGCATGGTTTCTATCTCTTTTGCCCCATGATTTCCAGCTACTACTCATGAGTCTGAATAAAGGGGGGGGGGGGTTAAGTCCAACATGGTTAAAGACTTGCATCCGGCCACAGATTTGTCTCTTTGGCCCACCAAGGAGTCAGCCTATGCCATCGGCTGCTCCATGGCGGCATTGGTGGCCACGGAGAGGCGTATTTGAGATGGTATTTTATATCGTTTCCACAGTATGCTGTCACACATCATGGGGTGACGTTGCAACAATGAAACTGGAGTGATTCAAGTGCTTCAGATGCAATCACGCAGAAATGTTCCCATAGTGTCATTATCAGTGCAGCGTCTCGTTCACTTCACAGGGAACCATAACCTGAGACATTTTGCATGGGTAAGAGTAACTTGAATTCATTTTAGAGAGTGTTTCACATCTACTTTTAAATTCACTGTCTATAAAGAAACAAAAGTGAAAGTGCCATGGTTTCTTTGTGCTGGGCAGAACATGCAAAGCGGAGTGGTGTGACGCTCTGCTCAATATTCTGCTCTATGCAAGTGTGCTCCATTCAGTTGCTCACAACCCATGCAAACGGTCCACTTATGTACTGCTCACGCTCACCGGTAAAATGACAATCCCATTCCGACGTTACATTCCCTTTGTACTATACAACTTTCTGTTTGTAATGAATTTCTTGAATAAATGCTCAATTCCAACACGATTTAAATTTGGCAGCTGATGATGTGCCGCACTAAACGTTTTAATCATGCCGGTGTGATCGTATCAAATATAAAAAAACATTGTTTGGCTATTTTTTGTCTTTTGGAAGTTGCATTCAGAATCCACTTGGCTCAAAAATCTGAGGGGGCATGTGCATTTATTTCACATATTCTAAAACCATCATATCGCAGAGAGCATTCTGGGTTGAGTGAGGTGCCCTGAGCGGACTGAGTGAGCAGAGCATAAACTTTCATAAGAGCATAAGGCTCTCTCCGCTACGGAGTAAATGTTACCACCCTGCTCATATGCTCTAGTGCTGGGGAAGTGAAGTTTAGAAAGGGGGTTGTCTGCACTGTGCTTTCATTGACTTTATTGCAGCAATGACGAGGTACTGTAGGTACATCTTATCACACGCTGCCAGCGAAACTCTGAAGCCACAATCCTTCACTTAATCACCCACTCCCTTTGTACATCTGGATCTGGGACAGTGATAGGAGGGTGTATTACAATAGTTAAATGTAAGTGGCTTTTCTTTGTTAAGACTGACAATGGAGGGGGTGACATGGACATTTGAAATTTCTTTTACTGTCTCCTTGTTAGCACATGGGGGTTGGTAATTAAGATACAATGATAGTGTTGTAATAGTTTGTTTGTAAATGCCATCAAGGTCATGGGACCGAAACTTTGTGAATAAATCTAGTTTTTGATAAGTTTGCAAGTACTGATAGTGTGTGGCATTGATTCATGTTTGGTTTCGGGGTAAATAAAGAAAAAAGTATACACTGTATTAATGAAACAAAACCATCTATTTAATACTAGACATGTGAAATTAATGTGTGTGGGGAGGTGAGAGGTTGGGTTGGAGGGGAACAAATACTCTGATACCCAAGTGGATTTACACAAACTGAGAGTGTCAAAAACTTGTTAGGTTGTGGCCCGCTCTCTCCTACTGACCATATTTGATACACAAATTTCTAAGGCCTCTAAATTATCAACATGATAAAACCCTCAAAAACCTGTTGTACATAATCTGCTACATGCCTTCTGTAAAGGCCTTAGTGTAGTAGTAAAAATGTACAATGGTACAAGTGTCTGTTTGCTTTGAAATCTTTACAGATGCTCATAAGTAAACGTAAAAAATAAATTATACCTATATAAATTATCTATAGCCCTGAAAGTCCCTGAGCTTTTAGCATTCAATCTACAGTTGTTGAGCAGTTCATGTGAGGATACTGATTTGATCTTGATTAATACTTTATTGATCACCCTAAACCACCTGACCATGTCTAGTAAACTTATGAACTGTTTTGATATTTATTGTAATATTGTTATTGGCCTAAGAAACAGTTATACCTGCTATACTCTTATGCTCTGAATTGTATATTTATTTTACAGAGAATCTATTTTACAGAGATTCTTCTACAGATCTATTCATACAGATTACTTAACAGTGTTACTGATGATCCATCTTATTTTCTCCATCTGTATCTGAACTTGAAGGTCAGTGGTGTGAACACACCCATGAGCCGCAAACGAGAGCACCGGGTTCTTCTCATGGTGATGACCATGGTGATCTTCTATCTGCTCTGCTGGTTGCCTTATGGGATCATGGCTCTTCTGGCCACTTTTGGAGCCCCAGGACTGGTGACTGTCGAGGCTAGCATAGTGCCCTCCATCTTAGCGAAGTCCAGCACGGTCATCAATCCCATCATCTACATCTTCATGAATAAACAGGTGAGCATAAAGAAAGGTTGGAAGGGTTTGGCAAAAATCAGTGTGAGTTTTGCTCCATGTCGAGGACTTTGGGGTAAATTATTCTGTGGTAGTTGTGGCTATAGTCCATAAAATGGAAGTACACTGAATTTATTATTTATCTAATCATCTGTGTTTCAGTGTTTCTTCACTGAAAATGTCATCTGTTCAATGTTCAGTTTCAACATCTACTACTAATAAATTACATTTTAAGTTGTATTAAGTAACAATCATGTGCTTTCAAATAGTAACATTACAAGAAACCTTTCCTTTTTCTTTTTCTTTTTTTTGTAGACACTCTGTGTCGGCATGCCAAAAACTGATTTTTGCTTACCCACATGAACAGAAAGTAGCTCCATCAAAGCTGATTGTGCTGAGCTATTCAGTGATGTTCCGAGTCTCCAGAAAGTGGGTGCCAGAGATTTTGTGGTCCAATCAATATACACTGTCAGCTTGATAAATGTGATGTGACTCTTTAATGGCATACTCTCATGTGAAACAATCTAATTCATCGTTCTTGTTGTACCATCCGTCAGTGTCAGCTGTGCAATGTGGCACTGATGAAGAGGGTACAGTGGGTATAGAAAAGAATCACCCCCCTTTAAAATAATCACATTTTGTTCCTCCCGGCTCTTTTATCCAGTTTTTTTAAAAGCAGCCTGTCCTCTCCACATGTGATTAGGGACCTACTATTTATACAGGCAAATCAAGCTTCTTTCAACTGAGAAGGTATACTATGTATGTATATGCAACTAAAGTTGACTCTGTTTGGCTCTAAGAGGTGATTTTTAGGGCAAATATATGTTTTTCCTCTTGTGGAGTGTACCATTGGGTTGACTTGATGCAGGAAAGCAGGTCTCACTGGAGAAAGATGAAATGCCATGCAAAGGTTATTAATGGCCTGCCAGCTCAGCAGTTTGAAAACCATATCAGTTGGCTGCTTAACTTCCTTTAAATCCCAGATAAGGCACCAGACTTTGATTTGATTGATTGAGCTTGTCATTTGTCTTGTCGAGTGTTGTGTACAAACCAAAGAGCACAACATGAAGTTTAATATTCCATGTAGGAACAGAATAGAATGCAAGCACATCCACAGTGTGAATATCAGCTTGTTTTGAAAGATTCCTTCCCTCAAGTTTCTTGTGTAACCATTAAAATTGGCTCATTATTATCATTAGTGGTTCTTGCTAAGGTATTCCTTAACCAACTCGTTTCTGTGAACCTGTTGCACAGAAACATACTGGGGTATGTTTCCTGTACTGCTACATAATACACTGCTTAGCCACTGTATAACAATGCATTGTTGGAGAAATAAACCAGAGAAACATCCTGACTGTTTCCCCGAAACTAAAGTTACATGGTCACACCTTCAGCATTGGGACCACACTGGTTCAACAATACAAGACTGTTGTTAATTACGCCACACGTAGATAGTGAAGTAATAACATCTGCTAATTAATCAGTTCAAGATTAAAATAATGTCTAATTACATACATGCAATATGTAATTGCTGTAGACTACCATATACATTCAGTTTATTTGGCAGCTATCTCCACAACGTAATTTCTCTGACATGCTGCTGTCTGTCACACAACGAGGTAATCCAAAGCACGACGATAAAGATGAAGATTCTAAATAACTTTTAATAGTACAGATTAACAGAACAAACACCAAAAGGCAGGCAAAGAAAACCAACCATGTAACATTAACGATTCTAAATAAATGAGGATTCAAACAGAGTAGTGTTAATTGTCAGCTATTATTAATTTAGTCTTAGTCCTGTGTCAAATGTAACTTTTAGTTTTTATCATATTTAGTCAACTTGTCCTGTATTAGGTTTAGTCAAGTTCCCTTTCAGTCAGTCACTCTCGACGTCAGTAAAGCTACAGTCAAGCATGCTCTTCGTGGGCTCTCGTGCTGGTGGACGCCGCTTCAGCGGCAGTAGTTTTCCCGTGTCGAGTGGGTTGCACACAAGGGCGCTCTTCTTCTGGCAGTGGACGGACTGGTCTTACAGTCACGGTGAGGTGACTGAAAGACCAGTCACCTCACCGTGACTGGTCTTACAGTCACGGTGTAAGACCAGTCACGGTCTTACACCTCCGGGGATGCCCCAGCCAGCCGGCACTCCGAAACCAGCGGAGCTCTCAAAAGGGTCTTACAGTCACGGTGTAAGCCCAGTCACGGTCTTACCCCTCCGGGGATGCCCCAGCCAGCCGGCACTCCGAAACCAGCGGAGCTCTCAAAAGAGCAGGCTGGACCCTCCCGGGGGGTTTCTTCCGAGGCTCCCCCCAACGACCGGATGTCAGTTGCAGTATCGGAGGGTGAGCCGAATTTCTCCAGGGATGAAGATCCGTCAGCGCTGCTGCCCTCTGGGCGGTCAGCGGTGCCGGATACGGACCCGGAAATGATGGCTATGCTTTCCCGGGCCGCCGAGAGTGTCGGGCTCGAGTGGAATTTTCCACCGCGTCCCGAACCCTCAAGGTTGGACTATTGGTTTCTTGGGGTGGCGCGCGCTGGTTTTCAGGGCCCCACCCCAGTGCCTTTCTTCCCGGAGGTGCATGATGAGATCGCTGGGTCGTGGACGGCACCTTTCACTGCCAGAAACCGGCCCAGTGGCTCATCCTCCCTCACCACCCTTGATGGGGGTCCAGCGCGGGGGTACGCGGGAGTTCCCCAGGTGGAGCGTTCGGTTGCGATGCAATTGTGTCCAAATAGCGCTACCACTTGGCGGGGCAAACCGCTGCTCCCCTCCCGGGCCTATAGGCACTCGTCGCCCTTGATCAGCAGTGCTTATACGGCCTGTGGAGAAGCTGCATCCGCCTTACACGCTTCAGCGCTACTGCAAGTTCACCAGGATAAGGCACTGAGGGACTTGCACGATGGTGGTCACGACCCGGAAGTCCTCAAAGAACTCCGCACCGCGACGGACCTCGCGCTACGAGCGACGAAGGTTACAGCGCGGTCTCTGGGTCGTGTGATGTCCACTATGGTGGTCCAGGAGCGCCATCTCTGGCTGTGTCTGGCCGACATGCGCGAGACGGACAAGACAAGGTCCTTGAACGCCCCCGTGTCCCAGACCGGCCTGTTCAGCGACACGGTGGAGAACTTCGCCCAGCAGTTCTCCGCTGACCAAAAGCAGACTGAGGCCATCTGGTACATCCTGCCCCGGCGTGCCTTCGAACCATCAGGCTCGGCTATGCGATTCAGTTCGCCCGGCGCCCTCCCAAGTTCAGGGGCATTCACTTTACGTTAGTGAAAGCAGCAGATACCCCTGTCTTGTGTGCAGAGATCGCAGTCCTACTGGCGAAGGACACGATAGAGCCGGTTCCTCCAGCCGATATGAGGTCGGGGTTTTACAGCCCTTACTTCATTGTACCCAAGAAACGCAGTGGGTTGAGACCGATCTTGGATCTGCGCGTTGTGGAACTTGTTCGTTGAGTGGTGTTCTTCTCGCCGAGAAGACCCCCGAAGATGCCCGGTCGGAGTTGTGCGGTCCTTTTTGCAGCAAGGGTTGGCGTGAAGGCTGTCTCCCTCCACCCTTAAAGTTTATGTCGCTGCAATCGCTGCTAACCACGACCCCGTAGAAGGGAGGTCGCTGGGGAAGCATGATCTGGTCGTCAGGGTCCTTAAGGGGGCAAGAAGGTACAACCCTCCACGGCCACCCTCGATACCCTCTTGGGACCTGACTCAAGTGCTCACGGCACTACAACAGGGCCCATTTGAGCCTTTGCGGACTGTTGAGCTGTGGGTCCCCTACCCCCATCACGAGGGTAGGGGACCCACTGGATAGTGGATGCCATCACCCTGGCTTATCAGGCACAGGGTGTGCCCTGCCCGTTCAGGTTGCGAGCTCACTCAACCAGAAGTGTTGCATCCTCCTGGGCCCTGGCTCGTGGCGCCTCGCTGGTGGATATCTGTAGGGCTGCGGGCTGGGCGACCCCTGACACGTTCGCTAGATTCTATAGCCTTCGTGTGGAGCCGGTATCCTCCTGTGTTCTCACCTCAAACGGGTAGAAGCACTGAGAGTCCCCGGCTTCGGGTCAGCTTGCTAAAACCACTCCAGAGAGTCCATATAGTAGACCCTGTTGAGTTCATCCGTCCCCTCGGCAGCCAGACGTGGCAGAGTGTCCGGCACCAGGCCTTCACTCGTTGAATCCTCGAGAACCGGTAGAAGGCTGGGTTCCATAAGTAAGACCTAAGTGGATCCCATATGTGTAAAGTCCACGGCATAGCCTTGAGCCTGTGTTTCCCCGGCAGACTTCTGCCATTCCAAGAGGGTTACAATCACCTCCATTCTTCCATATGCACCCAAGGAATGTTCATATGTGTATTGCTTCCGAAACCTCCTTCGGGAAGGTTGGAGCTTCCGTAACGTTCCCGGTTCCAAGTAGAACGGGTACGTTTTCCCAGTGTTATCCGGTCTTACTCATTGGGTAGTGCCATAGTAGCAGTAGCTGGTCCTCTTGTGCAAGCCCTGGCCTACGCCAAAAAGTAGGGGCGCAGGTGGCTTCCACAGGACACTGGAAGGGGCGGTAGCTGTGGCCTTTTGGTAGGATCCTTATTCGTCAGTCATCCGACGTAACGTCGAGAGTGACTGACTGAAAGGGAACGTCTCGGTTACGTATGGTAACCCTCGTTCCCTGAAGGAGGGAACGGAGACGTCACGTCCCGTCGCCACAGCTCCTGTACCACCGCTGAGCGGCCGGGTCACCTGCTCGGTTCCTCAGCAAAAACCTGAATTATGCACTGCATCTGCTGCCTACTTATACTCACGCTGTGATCAGCAGCAGCTGGATGCAATAATCGCATGCCAATGTGCATTGGCTCGTTTAGTTTACACTCGAAGTAGATTGGTCTCTCTAAGCGAGATCCCAATTCGTCGGTCATCCGACGTGATGTCTCCGTTCCCTCCTTCAGGGAACGAGGGTTACCATACGTAACCGAGACGTTTCCCAGCAAGCAATTTTGCGTTTAAAAGCCGT